ACTTGTGCTGTACGTAACAAGTCACGTGACGTGACGCTGCGGCTGTGATTGGTTCGGCTCTGCGCTAGTTAATTTGGATTGGCTGTTGTTCTTTTTTTTCTCTTTTTTAAGAGGACAAGAGCGGCGAGGTCTATCGCAATAGTTTAATTTTTCTATCGAGAAAAAGTTATATCGCGATACATATCGTTATCGTTCTATCGCCCAGCTCTAGAGAGAAGTAAACATGGAGAGAGAGAGAAAGAAATGAGGAGGTAGAGATGGAAAGCAGTTTGAAAGAAGAGTGGATAGAAAGATAGAGAACCAAACAAAGAGGAAGAGAAGGAAATAACTAAGAGAGAAATAAACAAGGAGGGTGAGAAGAAATTAAGGAGAGGTTGAAGCCAATGAGGAAGGAGAGAAGAAGAAAGGAAGTAGAAGATAATGAAATGACGTGTTAATAAGGAAAGAAAGAAAACATTTCCTCGTTTCAGTATCTGCGTCTTTTTCTCCTTTTCTTCCTACTTGTCTCTCTGTCCACCTCTTCTACAGGTGAAACTCGAAAAATTTGAATATCATGTTCAATTATTTCATTAATTCAACTTAAAAGGTGAAACTAATGTACTATATAGACTCATTACATTCAATGCTAGATATTTCCAGCCTTTATTTCTTACTAATTTGGTGATTATGGCTTATAGTTTATGAAAACCCCAAATTCAAAAGCTCAAAAAATTAGAATATTGTTCAATATTTTAGGCTCAAAGTGTCACACTCTAATCAGCTTATTAAACCAAAACACCTGCAAAGGGTTCCTGAACCTTGAAATGGTCTCTTAGTCTGGTTTAGTAGGAATCACAATCATGGGGGAGACTGCTGACCTGACAGTTGTGCAGAAAACCATCATTAACACATTCCATAAGAAGGGAAAGCCTCAAAAAGCAATTGCATAAGAAGTTGGGTGTTTCTGAAGTGCTATTTCAAAGCACATTAATAGAAAGTTATGTGGAAGGGAAAAGTGTGGAAGATAAAGGTGCACTGTGCTTTGTTAAGTCCAGAGTAAATGCAGCCATCTACCAGGAGATTTTGGAGCATGTTATGCTTTCTTCTGCCGACGAGCTTTATGGAGATGCTGACTTCATTTTGGAGCAGGAATTGGCACCTGCCCACACTGCCAAAAGATCCAAAACCTGGTCCAATGACCGTGGGAATGCTGTGCTTGATTGGTCAGCAAACCTGAAACCTGACCTGAAACCCATAGAGAATCTATGGGGCATTACCAAGAGAAAGATGAGAGACATGAGACTGAACAATGCATCCTGGTCTTCACAGCACCTCAGCAGTGCCACAGGCTGATTGCATCCATGCCACGCCGCATTGAATCAGTAATTCATGCAAAAGGGGCCCAAACCAAGTACTGAGTACATAAGCATGATTATACTTTTCAGAGCTCTGACATTTCTGTATTTAAAATCCTTGTTTTATTGATTTCATGTAATATTCTAATTTTCTAATTTTGGGCTTCTCATAAGCTGTAACCCATAATCATTAAAATTATAACAAATAAAGGGTTTTAAATATCTTGCTTTGCAATGTCTATCCTATTATTAGGTTCAGCTTTTAAACTAAATGATTGAAATAAATGAAATTTTGCACGATATTCGAATTTTTCAAGTTCCACATGTATTTCTCCTCCCTTTTTCCATCCGCCCTCCTCCACCAGGTTTCAAAGCTCAGTCCCAGCATTTTATGAACCTGTGTGTTGTCTCTGTAATTACATTCACCTTGTTGTACCAAATTGTCCTTCTTTTTTCCTCTTTTGCCATAGAAACGTGGTGGCCACAAGAGACCCAGACATCATGGCTCCCAGCACCATGACAACGCCTCAAACAAGAATCGGAAGATTCACATGGATGACAAACAGTACAGCTGTGATCAATGCCCATCCACTTTCGCTCGACTGCAGACTTTCTTAACGCACCAGCGTGTTCACACAGGAGAGAGACCGTACAGCTGTGACACATGTGGCTCAGCTTTCACTCAGTTGTCTCATCTGAGGAGGCACGAGCGAAGTCACATTGGGAAGAAACCATACAGGTGTGATCAGTGCCCTTCCACTTTCACTCAACTAAGTGGTTTCTTGATCCACCAGCGTGTTCACACAGGAGAGAGACCGTACAGCTGTGACACATGTGGCTCAGCTTTCACTCAGTCATCCCATCTGAGGAAGCACAAACGAAGTCACACCGGGGAGAGGCCATACAGCTGTGATCAGTGTGGTCAGACTTTTACTCTAAAATGTAGTCTGAACACTCACTGCATACGTTTGCACACAGCAGAGAAACCATACAGCTGCGACCAGTGTGGTAAAAGTTTTGCATTGAAATTTTCCCTGAAAGTCCACCAGCAAATCCACACCAGAGAGAGTCCGCCCTGGTGTGAGGAGTGTGGAAAACCTTTTTCTCACACGTGCTCCCTTAAAAATCATCAAAGAGTTATCATTGGAGAAAGGCCGTACAGCTGCGACAAGTGTGGGAAAAGTTTCAAGCAGAAATGTATTTTACAAAAACACAGAAAAACTCACACTGGAGAGAAGCCATACAACTGTGAGGAGTGCGGGCAGAGTTTCACCCGCCCGTGCTCTCTGAGGAAACATCAGCGTATCCATACAGGAGAAAGACCGTACAGCTGTGATGAGTGTGGGAAAGCCTTCAGTCGGCAGTTCAGCCTGACATGTCACATGCGAATCCATACAGGAGAAAAACCATACTGGTGTGAGGACTGCGGGCAAACGTTCCGTCACAAGGGCACCTTCAAACAACACCAAGAACAACATCAGAACAGGACAGAGAACTTGGAGCCGGGATCAGCAGAAGTCTCTTTATAAAAGAACCATTTCATGTTTCATGTAGAAGATTTTCAGGTCTTCTTCCTTTTTACTGTCTGCAGTGGAATTCTGTATGAGTTTGTTCTATTGTTCAGAACATCATAAACACATTTGTGTGGTCTGCTTGTTGCAGTGTGCTACTGTGAGGGGGGAAAAAACGCGGAACAACAGAAATGAATAACTTTCTGTTGCACTCTTAAATTAATACTGTGAATAATACCTATGGGAGATTTAAAAACAAACAAACAAACACCCAATTAAAGACGAAAAACTTTTATTTAATGTAGGCACAGAAAATGAGACTGACCAGAACCCACCTCCACAAAATTGCTGTAAAACCAGAGGAGAAGATGTCCTCAGGGATCCACAGACCACCAGGAGCTGCTCACAGTTCTGCATATCGGGCATTTCAGAGCCCCCAATCAAAACCCTTTGCTCCTGTTAGGACGATAAATGGCACACTTCTTCCTTAAGGACCACAAACTTGTGCTTCCTGTAGAAGCTGCCCTGATCCTGCCTTTTTCTGAAGCTATGTTGTTACAGTACTGAACCACTACCTGGAGAAAAAAAACCCTAAAACGAAGTAAAACTGCATTTATTTTACTTTGTTTTTTCTGCTGCAAAGTAAAGTTTGTTTCCTTTTCAGGGCCTGTAAAATGAAATCATTAACCTCATTAATGTTTATTATAATGTTTGTTGACAAAAAAATAAAGGGATGCGAACCAGTCTGGTCCTTTCTGTAAGTTTCAAAGAAAATAACCTAAATATCTAAACATGTCACAGCTCTCTTTGTCATCTGAGTTTTATTGTGTAAAAAATCAGAAAAAAAATATCTAAAACTAATAAAAACTGACCTGAAATCAGCAAAATGACTAAAAATAAACCAAAAAGATTCAGGTGAATGAGTCTAAATCACAGTGCAGTCAAACATGCAGCTGCTTGAGACTCCACAATTTTATTAACAATTTCAATAATTACAGTGGATCAAGCATGGTGATATTTAAATGGAAAAGCAACAGGACTGGAGTTCATGAAAAATTTAAACTTTTTATTACCAAACAGTGACAAGGCACAGATGTGAAGTTTAGTTTAATAAATGTTCAGGCTCAAACAGAAAAAACAAAACATGGGAACACGTTTATTTACAGTCAAACTCAGCTGATTGTTTCAGGTTAAACTGCTGGGATCCAAACAGAGGCTGATACCTCTGCGTCAATTCACTGTGTGATGATCTGCTTTCATGCTCAGTGCTCATTAAAACTTCAGAGCTTGATTGATTGGGACAGTTAAACATTTAACATGTGGAGCTCCATGTTCTGTGACGCTTCAGTAGTTAATAATAATAATAATAATCGCATCATTTACTGGTTAATAAGTGATCATAACAATGGGGGGATAGTCTCTACAGCCCCAGCTCAAGCCCCGCCTCATTTTCATGGAGGCCTTGGTCAGGCACGTCAAAGGTCAGCCCGGCCTCTCGCTCAATGCTGTCACCCCACAGTCGCAGGAACTCAGAGTTTTCCTCTCTGGCACCGCCCACGTCGCCAACTTCAGACACGCCTCCCTCTGCAGCCACTTCTGAAATCAGACCGGGTTCTCTGTGCCGAGGTTGTGTCAAGAGGTGGTGGAAGGTCATCAGCAAAGGCTGGTAGGGGGCGGGGTCATAAAAGAAAGGGGGGAGTCACACTAGAGTTGATTTATTTTGTAGAACCTAAAGGAGCCAAGAAGACGACGAGCTGACTTGAGGGGGAGGCTGAGTTAGTTTCATAGACCCAACCAGGAGACCTGGGACAAGCCCACCTAATGTGTTATCATTACACTTTCATCAATCAGAGATCAGTTTGAACCAGCTGTGCTTTCAGTCTCGTCTCAGCTCGTTTTTTTTTAAAGTTTTATTGCTGTAAGTCATGTGACCTGCACAGGACTGCAGACAGAAATAACCTAAAACCTGACAGGTGTATATTTTTATATTAGCATCCATCAACATCAATGTAACAAAATATAATAGATATAATATGTAATAGAATATAACATAATTTAAGCTGTCTGCGCCCCAGAGTCTCACTCATCTGATCTTCCAGACGATCAGATCAAACATTCTTGTTTAAAGTATTGCCCAGGTGTGTGTGATGTCACTGTGATGTCACCCTGTGTTGGCTCTCCACGCTGTCCTCTCCATCTCTGGTGTCTCTCTCTCCGTCGCCTTCTTGCTCGCCCGCTCTCTCTCCCAGTAAAACTAGCTCATTGATCCACAGATTGGTGCTGGTGGTGCTGTTGGTGTCACTGGGAGGCTGGAGGAGCTCCTCACTCTGACACACACAGACACACATTTAACATTTAATCTCATTAAAATAAGCTTTATTTACATCAAAGTGACAGCTCACCTCCTGAGAGGAGTCCACCTGCTCCACAGCCTGCAGAATATGACATAACACACGTCATGACATCACACATTGTAGCACAGTAAGAGTGACGATATTTGTTTACGGAGCTGAGTGTGTGTGTGTTACCGTGTTCTCCAGGTTCTGCCGTTCTCGCACCATTTGTGGACCCTGTAAACATCAACCAAACGGACTGATTCAGTCACTCTGTCCTTAATAACCACAGCTGATTGGTCACATGGCACAGTGACGCTCATTTTAACGCTGCAGGTTCTCTTTTCATCTACAAGGTAAAAAACTACAAATAAGAAAAAACTCAGCACGTGTCAGGATGTAATGACTGCAGATGGAGGACATATTATAAAATTATTTCTGATGGATGCTGCTGAGGTTTTTGAATAATGTACCATTTTATGTTGTGATCATTTAACAAGATATAGCAGATATTTGCATTAGCTGGACTGCAGGACCAGAATCTGTTCAGTTTTTACCAAATTAAAGATTTTACCAGACTCTAACCTCAAAGCTGCAAATAGACTCAGAGTATACAGTGAGATTGTGTTGTAACTCAGGTCACCTCTGAACTCTGGCTTGACTCCGAGGAAACTGATGAAGAAGAGGAGGAGGAGGAGGAAGTGATCTTCTGAGCGGGGTCAGGAGGGGCCGAAGGCTGCAGACACACAGTGATGTTAGAAACTGAAGATGCTTTAATGTAAGGAAGGCAGTAGGGTTTCATCTGGATACAGATGTTACAGCGTGTGTGGGAAACACAAGGCTCAGGCTGAAGAAATAGCTGCATCAATATCTGCCTGAAGAAAACACCTCAAAATACAAGTTTACTACAACTCTGATGGACTCTACTGCTCTAGCTGTAGCCACATAGAACTGAGAGTACTCTGTGTACTTGTACTGCACTGACTCACTGCTGTTTGGTCCACTTGGCTCTGCAGGAGGAGCTGAAGGCTGTGGAGGTCTCCTGGAAGCTGCAGACAAAAACAAACACGTCTCAGAGTCACAGATGAGCCTCATGTCTCATGAACTGACCAGTATGATCCAGCCTTACTGGCACAGCCTGGTTCTGATCCAGCAGGCTGACGATCATCAGAAGCAGCCACATCGTAACAAGCTCTCGGGGCGGTCCTGGAGGTCCGGGGTAATCCTGGTCCTGTGGGGGGTCCTGCAGGTTCTGACCGAGTCTTGCTCTGCTCCGTCTGTTTTATTGCGTGTTTGGCAGGAAGTGTCATGTCATCATGTCGCCCTCAGTCCCTGCCCCCCTCCCACGGATGTTACGCCCATCAAGAGAAACATCAACAACAACAACAGGCTGATTTATACTGGCAGGGAGCGTCTCTGTGTGTGAGAGCAAGTGTTCACTGCAGTAAGGGTGTGATGTGAAAGCAGTCATGCAGATGTTTTATTGTTTCTTCTGATGGAAGCAGCTGTTTAACATGGCGAAGCTCAAAGTGCTTCCATCCTGCTTTAATGGGGAGAAATCAAACCTCAGGACACATTTGGATGTTTGTGGTTCCTCAGGTGTGTCCAGGCCCTTCATTAGTCCAGAGCTCCGCCCTCTGATCCAGGACTTTGGGTTTATTTTGTATAGCTTAACTTTTATTTAACTGATGATGTCAGAGGAAGCGAAATAAGATAAAGAAAAAGTATCAGGATTAAAAGTACTTCCAGATGAGGTGTGTGTGTGTGTGTGTCAGATTCATGGAGCTGCGGTGAACCAACACAACAACACATCCAGCTGGCAGTAAACACATTTCACAACCAGCAGGACTTCCTGCCACACAACCACACGACACCAGAGAGAGAGGAAGCCAAGTGTTACAGAAGAGGCTCAACAATAAACCAGATTAGACACAACCATCAGTTTCATAATAAATTCTGCTTTAATATTCATCGTCCTATCACAGTTCACCTTTTTTTAATCATCTCAGGTCTGACTTCTTAGTAGGAATGGTGGGAATTTTCAGATCCTGCAGTTCAAATAATTTATTTAAATGAATGAAGGTGGGGCTGTTTTTAATGTTTTTAGAATTGTTTTAAATTGTTTTAAAATCCCAATGAAAGTAGAAAACTTTGTGAGTCCAGTCCTTCCCGTTTCATGGTGAGTATCTGGTCATGTGACTTGTGAGTTTGGCCTGCTGGAATAAACTTTATCCACCAACATGTGGTCTTTATTATGAAAAGCATGAGTTTACACACCAAAGAACCCAAACCTTTCTAATAGCAACTGGCTTGCTTTTATACTCTACCTGATTCAGGTGAGCCTCTTGTATGACCCATATCTGGGAAACCAAGCAAACCAAATGACACACTGATCATCCACGTAAGCAAACATCAAAGCACAACACAACACATGGAAGACTTATTTATATACGCACAAAGTCCCACAAATAATTCAATTACACATACACTTCAGTCAATTATATATAAATTAGAAACACCTTAACCAAACTCCCCTAAGCTGGCACACTGGTTTATTCTAAGAGCTCATAAGCAGCTGATTGAGCTGCTCTTACTCATTTGCTCCTGTAAAAGAAGTGACCAGGAAAAGATGAGTACAGCAAACACACTTCTCTTAAATACATGTTTGAGGAATTTAGGTTTACAAGACAAATGATGAACTGCAATCAGCTGCCACTCAGGTTCTTCTTCCTGACACAGGATGGATGTCAGGTCCCTCCAAATGTTTCTTCACCTTCCATAAAAATGTCAAATTCGATAAACCTAATACAGAATCACCAAACCATAAACGTTTCTTTTTCATGTAACCTTTTAAGTCCCTCAAACATATAAAAATACATTCATTTATTTATTATTTATTTACAATTAAAATACAGGCAAGCGTAGTGGAACACCTGGGTCTCCATTACATGGCTCTATGAAAATGGACTTTCAGGATGGATGCTGGATGGAAAGGATGGAAGTTTTTGGGTGTCAGATTTGGAGGATTGGAGAAAACAAAGTACATGGTGTACTCTCATTCCTGCTGGGATCTGAGACATCTGTGTGGTTTTTGGCATCACTGCTTCTGAACCACCCTCAGAATAAAAGCAGGAACTAGAGCGAGGTGGCGGCCAGCATCCCATCACTGCCCCGTTACAGATTTGACAGCGCAGAGGCGAAGGCTCAAACACCCGGACATTGAAAGTTCCCTCTGCGGTCAGATTTCACCATCAGCTTTCTGAAAACATCTGTGTGTGTGTGTGTGTGTTTCTGATCTATTTCTAAGTCAGTGCGTTGGATGCAAAGCAGTGTTTATCTGCCTGCCACAAACCACATACACATAAACTCACACACTGAAGTGTCTGTCAG